ACTGGGGTAAACATAAAGAAAAGTGAGCGCTACAGTGAGTCATGCTGCTTTAAATACTTTTAAAGGGAGGAAACCGAACAAGCAACCAGCACACACCTGATTCCACAACAGGGCGAGACCAGGGAGGTGAGACCAAAGAGGCATCACCTGCCGCTATAAGACCAAACCTCCTCCGCCACCGAGCACATTCGACACACACAGGCAGCCATGGCAAACTTCCTCAACAAGCTGGGCAACCAGGGCATCGCAGAGGTCGCTGGAAAGAAAGCGGGTGAGTATCTTTTGTAAGATATCTCTGAGATCAGATCGGTTTTAAACAAAGTCTTCTGAACGTTTCCTCTCAGTCGTAGAATCACACATCTTAAGAGAGCTAACACTATTACCAATATTAGAGATATTTATAGAATTATTATCAGACAATGTTCAGACTTAAGTTCTACGTTTGTCTCCTTTAAAGACGACGGACAGAAAAGATTTAACAGTATAAAATGTCACTATCACGGAGGGATCGGGCTATTTGCTGCAGCGTTTGCTTTAACCCCCGGGGGGAGCAGGCTGGTTTTTATTGTCAGGTGACATTAGGTGAGCGGAGCCTCAATTTATTTAATGAGGTTAAAATATTTCTGTAGCCCCGCCCACCCGGTGCTTCAGGCAGGGTGAGTCTTATTACAGTGCTGAGGATCAGAGGACGTTTATTACAGTCAAACTGGAAATATAAACTATATCAATTAATTTCATTTAGCAAAAGAGGATGAAATACGTTTTGAAGATCTTTTTAAAGGTTCCATATGTCCGATTTTAATTAACGGGTTGTAGCATAGCTTTGTTCCTCTGCTGCCTGTGGACTGATTTCTACGTGTTTCTATGTCGGGATGAGGGTCAAAGGTTGTAAAGTAAATACAATAAACAATAAATTATGTACAAAGCTAACGGTTGCCTTCTGCTAGCCGAGAGCGATGCGAGTCCCGTGTTTGTCTAGACGCCGAACTTACCATGTGTTTGCTCTGCAGGCGAAGTGGTGGAGAACACGGTGAAGAGTGTTCTCGGGAAAGGGGAAGCGAAGAAGGAGGAGGGGAAGTCAGGAGGAATCGATGCAGGAGACCTCCTCTCACTCGCCGGCGGTAAAAAAGACGACAACAAGGGAGGATTCGATGCAGGAGACGTCCTCTCACTGGTCAGCGGTGGCAGTAAGGAAGGAGAAGGAGGAGGTGAGTCAGCCGCCCTTTGTTTGCAACCAGTCTCATTGCAGTTAATGAAATTAGTGAATTTGAGTTAAACTGGTGAATTTCTAATCTTCGCTGTTGACCGACAGCAAGCCATCTTGCCATTGCTGACCTGAACCATTCTGTGGTATCACAAAGTCACAAATATATTAGCAATCTTCCCCTTCTCACGCTATTTCAGTGCAAAAATATCAATGTTGGCTGCTACAATCACAAAAAACGGTTGCGAAATCCTGGATGGACTGTGTGATATGCTAACATTGCTAACAAATGGCTAGCACTTTAAACTGTATAGATAAATCTAGTCTCTGTGATGTCAGTGAGGCCACGCCCTTCATTATTAATAACTTTAAGCCTTAATATCATTTAAATTAAGCCCCTGTACAGTCGTCATGAACAGGGAAATTAGCTGTAGAGACCAAAAGGCTGTAAACATGTTGGACAGTTTATTTTGGGGCCTTATGGAGCCAGCCTCTAGTGGCCGTTAGAGGAACTGTGAGGTGAAGGTCCATTATGAAGGGCCAGTGAGTTCAGGGCGCGGTCGAGGCTCATTTTAGCTTTTTGTTACCGACCCTCTGCAGTAACTGTTGTTTCCACTGAATGAAACGGAGGGTTAACAGTTGTGTGCTGTGTCCTACGCGGTCTGTCTCTAATGTTCGTCTGTCTGTGTTCCTCAGGCCTGGATGTGAAGAACGTTGTTGGAGGACTCTTTAAGTAGGAACCCTGCAGACCTCATCCCGACTTCCTCTTCAGCTTCAGTCCATCAAACCTGCAAAAGCTGCAGCGGAAATGTTGAATATAAAGTCTTTAAAAATGATATAAATATAAACGTGTTTAATTGTTTAATTAAATGTAAATAACTGAATACATGGCTGGTTGACAATGTTCATGTTTTCTTTACTGAACGATGGAGTTTAAAGGTTTCATCTGATGACCTCTGTTCATTAAACATTAATAAACTGGGTTGTTATTAAAGTTATTGTCATAAATTAAATGTATTAAATCACCTCTTCTGTATTTTGGTGAATGCTAATCGAATGCTAATTGTAATAAAACTAGTTTGACACCATGTTGTTTTTGTAGTCTTCAAATTTGATAAATTCAGATAAAATGTGCGCTGTAAAAAAAGAACTGTCTTCATTAAATGTTTTAGTAAAAGTCAAACTTTTAAGTTTAGAAATAAAATAAAATCTAATAATCTTTTATTGAAGTAAATTTATTTTTCTTCTGTAGAAAAACTTCTGTGAGTTTCAGAAACTGAAATATTTTTCTCAGTGAGTCGAGAACCTGATTTTTTTATTTTGGCTGCTTGAAAATTAAATAGTTGCAATTAAATATTAAATTATTATGTGTTTTTCACCTCAATTACTTTTCTGAGCAGGTTTTAAAATATTAATGGTAATAATAATATTAATTGTACTTTACTTTTCTTCTTTAAACTTTAATCTTTAAGTTTTAAAAACAAAACAAATATTATAATAAAGAAATTGTCTCATTAAAGTGAACAACTTTTTTTCAATTGCAACTAACAAATAATAAAAAATCAGGTTCTCGACTCACTGAACAGTTTGTAAAACTCAAAGAGGTTTTTCTAAAGAAGAAAAGTAAATTATCTGAAATAAGATTATTTATTTTATTATTATTATATTATTATTTATTATTATTATTTATTATTATTATATTATTATTTATTATTGTTTTATTATTATTTT